ACTCAGAAGTGTGTGACTTTGTCTACCACGCAGGCTGAATACGTGGCAATGGCGGACATGGGGAAGGAGATTTTGTTTTTGAGGCAGGTTTGGCGTTTCATGTTGCCGAAGGAGTTGCGGCCATGCATTCCACTGTATGAGGATAACGAAGGTGCTATACAGATCGCAACACCCAATGATCTCGAATTCCAACTCGAAGCACATCGACGTGCGGCATCACTTCCTCAGGCAGCTCGTAGATGAGAAGGAGGTAGAGATCATCCACGTAGCGTCGCAGTATCAGCATGCCGATTTCCTCACGAAGGCGCTACCTGAGAGAGAGTTTGTTTTCCACCGGGACTACGTGATGAATTTGAAGTGAAAAGTCCAGGAGATCATTTTTGCCTTCGAGCTTTATCTATGTCTGTCCTTCTTTGTCTTATCCGATTTGTTGGCTTTTGTGTTGATTTGTTTGATTTTCTGAGAAATTGAGTTCAGGGTTGACCGGTAGAAATTGTCGAAAGTGTTTCTGGTTTAATGGTTGGCAATGAATGCAAACCGATGGGAATCCTAACGAATGTTTCTCGTTTGAGGGTCTTAGGTGTTAGGAAAAGAATACAGTTTAAGACGAAGGGAATGTCTCGCGCTGTATTTTGTTTCAGGTTTTTGGTGTGGGAGGATAGTAAGCATAGTACATTTATGTCCGGGTGTAATCTTGCCAATGCAGCGAGCAGGGGGGCTGTTGGACGTACTCACAGCATCGACAGATTGTTGCAAGCAAGATTTCCGAGCAGATGGAGCGGGGAGTTTGGGGGTCCAGCAGTTGCTATGGATTAGATTTGGTGGTACCAACTTTGCCGCATATTTCAGGATTGAGGGTGGGGGTATAGGTGCGTCTACAACGGATATGGTGTTTGTGTTTTGTGGCTGCCGACTTCTTCTTCTACTTCCTTTTTCCCTCTTTGTTCCCTTCTTCCTGTGTGCAATCAAGTCCTTTTTCCCGGCTATCACACCACGGCTACCACGCCAATCCCGGCTATCACGCCACCCGGCTACCACGCCTCCTGTACTTCCACGTCCTTGCGCACGCCGTCGCACCACGGTTATCACGCCAACAGGCTTTCATACCACATTCAGAGATACCATACCCGAGCTATCACGCTCCATCCCAAAGCAGCAGGCTATCACGCCCATCGTAGTTCCTCCATTGTACCGTTGGCGGCGACCACGCCGCTGGCTCTTTTATTTCCCAACTACGGGACCCCGCGCGCCAAGGCACCGACGCACAAAGCTACTCAACATCATGCAACGTCTAGCACTGCCGTCAGGTCATGAACGAGCCTTTGCCGCCATTGAGGACGTAGGCCTATCCCTTGCAAGGGCTTAGGCACAAGCGCGCGGCGAAAGATTGCGCATGGCCCTCCTGCTATGCACGCCAGAACAGGTGTCACCCAGTGTAAAAATTCAGAATGGTTATATTACAAAAGCCACGCGGGACCGCTGTCCATACTAAACTAGACTTAGGGTGAGAGATAGATGGAGAGGGAGTGTACAGAAAAAGTCCCGTATGCCTTCAACGCCGATGCGATGTCGATACCCCACGAAGCCCCTCTGGCCAGCGCTACACACGCAGTTCACGTCGACAATAATGGACGACATGGACGACGTAGCCGCGTTCTGGCAGCACCATGCTGAGGGTTTCTGTCCACAGGGCAACCCGCTCAAAGTTTGGGAAGAATTACTGCTCATAGCAGCACAAACGCCTGAGCGTTTCCGCTAAGCTGTGCAAGCGGCCGCAGTCGCTGTTGGTGCCCGGTACTGCAACCACGATACTCAGCCGGGTCCGCTCCCTGATATCAGCAAACTGCCGGAGAGGCAGGCCGCCGCACAGCAACACGCTGGATTATGCGGAAAGTACCACGCGGAACACATCGCCAACATCGACGTCACCATGGTGGAAGAGAGGGCAGCAGGAGCTGAGATCACAACGAAAAGAATGAGGAATCAGGTGTGTGTGTATTGGACTGCTGTGTTGTGGGGTATGCACTGCTGTGTATATGTGCCAGGAAATGCGTACGAGGCCAGAGTGGTGGTGGGAGTGCCACACGAACGACATATATCTGTCTGTGGCCTGCTGACACTTTAGGCCGGAAAGAGAGGCACGTTGTGTTGTTGTGTTGAATACTTCACATATACGACCTGCAGCTGTTGACACAACTTCGACACCGCGAGAGAATCGGTGTTTTTAGCCTTTGACGTTGTTGGTGTTGTGCTGCTGTCAGCAGGCAAAGAAGCTTGTGATGAAAGCTTATTTGTGCGGGAAGTACGCCGACGGGCGTGTTGGCGGATCAGTATCATGTGTGTACATGTTCTGGCGGGGGGGTTGTTATCGTCTGGGTCGACATGTTCACAGTCTGTCATCAAACGCGCTACAGCAGTAGCAAAATAGGTAGTTCCACCAAATTATAGTCGGACAACATCAAACACCTCGCGGCGTGACCTGATCTTCCGAGGGACAAATTCTCGTTGTCGAGAATCTATGTGGACAGGCATAAACAGCACCACCTACCATGTTGTCGCGTTCACACCGATGCCCTTAAAGCGTGCAGGCCTGCTACGACGCCGGGACGGCGCTCAACGCGCGAGGCCGTGGGGTTCAGCTGAGGAGGCAGGAGTGCTTCACCCAGGCCTGCCGCGCGGTCTGGCCTGACGACCAGCCGCTGCCCGCAGCCAAACTTGCGATCGTTCGATGTATTGTGTGGCGCACGTGCCATCGGCTACGCACGCGGGGCAAGGTAGCTATGTTGTCTGTTTTGATGAAGCCGAGACCGGCGGGCGAATGTGCTGGCTCAATTTCCCCATGGGCGAACGGGCTAGGGTAGTTGCAGCATATTCGACATGAACCGAATATCAGCCAGGTCTCAAACATAAATGGCGCACGTGTGTGTTGACGGGCCGGGCGTTGGTGTGTCCCTGTGTATGCTGGAAAGGCTGGTTGTTCACGTGCTGCTGCTAATGGTGAAGGGTTGGGTCAACATTCCGTAACACCTTCGTTGTGCAAAAAAAAATAGGAACACGAGTTCGTCACGGTTGTTGTCGGTCGCGCGGAGCAGGGCGGACTTGCGCTTCGGGTGTCACAAATGAATTGAAAAAAAAAAAAAACATGAATAAATTTAAAAAAAAAGTTTGGCAAGAAAGACATTCGGAAACGTGGTTCCATGTGTCTTGGTTCTTTTGCGAGAGTTTCTTTCGTCTGTCCTTCAGGAATATCTTGGAGGTTCACGGGGATTCCGATAGGTGCACGAGAACATGTGCGTTCAATTCGTTTGGCATTCGAATTAAGCTCATTTATCCCACCTNNNNCGACATTTTCCTTCCATACGCGAACGAACGCCGAGCAGTGTGCCTGGCACAACCCGGGCTACCCTGGCACAACCATCACACAACGGCCCCCATGAACAAAACGCAACACAAGTGCGAATCACAGGTGCGGCTCAACCAGCAGTCTCAACTGAACCCCTCTGCCATTCGAACCCTTTTTTATTGCGGCCCTTAGACACACCATCCCAGTAAGCCTTCGCCGCCTGCTCATGAGACTCCGGGCTCTTCCAGCATGTTTCGCACATCAAAACCCCAGACTTATCCCCCCGTGTGCAAAATTGCTTGCACGAGCAC